CTTTGAGTAGACAGCATACTAATTTGATGAGAATGAATTTTATCATAACTATTATTCATGTCAATCTAAAAAAAAAAAAAAAATCTATGAGATCCTCAATGGTGAGCACCTTATTCTTTTGCTAATATTTAAAGTTATAATTATTAAATATAATAAAATAACTTGTGATTAGATCTAATTGACTTGTCTCAATTTTACACAAAATAAATAAATAAATAGTCATTATATAATGTGTGCCTTTATTTATTTCTTTATTTATCTGGTTCATCTTGAGTCTTAAAGGGAGAGTTCGGCCAAATACAAAATAATCATTTTTATTCGAATCTTCATCTATACTGGAGCTCATGTCTAGCCTACATCCAGATTAAAAGATTGAAACAACATAATGTCCTTTTTTTGAGTGAACTATCCCTTTAAGACCCCTTAAAAACCCATCATACACAACACATTCTGCATATCTTGGCGGGTTGTTTTTACCTGTCTAATAATCAAACTCAATCTTGTGTTTCACCTCTAACTTTATCTGTTTCCCCCATTTCACAAGCATTTCTTCTTTTCCTATCTCCCTTTCCCTCTCCTCACCCCCCTCTCACGCTTTATCTCTTCGGTCTTCCCTCTCTTCCCTGACGAGGGGCTGCAGGTATCATTTCAATTTCTGATGTCAACATCAAATTACTTATTTCATTTCATGCCTGGCCAAGCATCCTATAGCTACACGCAGGAGTGGTCGCGCTCAACTCGTTCTGCCGTGTCTGTTCCGACGACTCGCCTCGCCCTCCAGCTGACAGCTCTAATTATGCCCGATATCTGATAGTGCCGGCACACACTCAGAGACTCACATCTCCACTGCGGGAGCCAGAGCTTGAGGTTTGAAGAGGGCCGATGCCAGACTGCCTGAGCTTTCACACGAGCCTCTGTGTAAGATCCGTAAAGAAGGATAACATAACTTTCAGTGCAATGTAAACTGTATAGACTGCCTTCACATGGGTGAATGCTGCTTCAAGAGGGTTAAATATGGCTGTGTGTGTGTGACGGCCCATGGGTTTCTGGTTTCTGTCAGGATGCTTGGGTTTGTCTTTGTGTTTGCAGGGTGAACTTCTGGGTGGAGTGGAGCTGAGGCCGTCACGTAAATCGGAGTCAGCTGGCCACTGTCTCTAGATGGCATAAAACCCGCCCCTTCCTGATTGTCGCGCGCTGCACTGTTTGATCTGTCGCGCGTCCCTAGCATGGCGTTTCCTTCTGTTTTGGTTGTGTTTCGTTTGTTTGAATAACTGGCAATATGTTTTGCCAGTTCCATTTGTTGAGTCTTTTCTAATGATTTACCATATTGTGTTAAGTTAATCCACTTTTGTTAATAAATATTCTTTTGTTTAGTATTCCCTTGAGTCTGGTTTCCTCTATTTGTTGTGGCTTTTGAGCCGAGCCATAACAAATTGGGGGATCGTCCAACTTGGAAATTATGCTGTTAACAGGGTTTAATTTATGTACGTTTTTTCGGGGTTTCCAGTAGGGTTGGGTATCGTTTGAATTTGAACGATTCTGATTCCGATTCCGATTCCTTGTTTCGATTCCGGTTCCTAACGATTCTCGATTCAGATTCTTTTAAGAGGCAGGGTCAAAAAAGTTTAGCTAACCTTGCTAACCAACGGCCTTTCTGAAGGAAATACTCCTTCTGTAAAAATACTCCTTTTGTCACAAATTTTGCATTTTGCCGAGATTTCGTTATTTTTAGAAAAGCGAAGCCACACTTTGGATCGCCGACGTAAGGTACTCATGTTCGACTCGCGTGGTTATGCCAACACTTCCGGTAGACGCTTCTTCGTTGGTGTTGTTCAGCGGTTTCTTCTTCCGCTCGGCGGACTGTGAATATCGAAACTAGGAATCGAAATTTTTACTTTTGAACGATTCCGGGAAAAACGAAAAGTTAGTCTCGGTTCCAATCGATACTCGATTCTCGATACCCAACCCTAGTTTCCAGTAGGGATGCGCTGATTCTGCCCAATGCCGATAAACAGACGTTTATTTTCATATAATGGCCGATGACCACAGAATGGCCAATATTTAATATTTCTATACTATTTTGTCTCCAAAAAAGGCATGTATGGTGGTGGGCCGTTATCGGCGTTATCGTGCTGCGTCAATGCGAGACTCTTATCGGGCAATAAAAAAATATCACTGTTGAAATAGTTCACTTTTCAAAAAACTTTTGCTGATAATTTACTCACCCCCATGTCATCCAAGATGTCCACGTCTTTCTTTCTTCAGTCGAAAAGAAATTAAGGTTTTTGATGAAAACATTCCAGGATTTTCTCCATATAATGGACTTCATTGGGAACCAAACGGTTCAAGGTCCAAATGAGAGTTTCAGTGTCTCTTCAAAGGGCTTTAAACGACACCAGACGATCAATAAGGGTCTTATCTAGGACCCTTCGAGTCATGACTCGAAAAAATACGCGTTTGAACAGGAGAGTCGCGAACGCTCATCACAGAACAGAGCAAGGCGAGTATTTGTGCTCTTTGAGCTTTATTTTTTAAATGGCCGATCGTATCGCTAGATAAGACCCTTATTCATCGTCTGGTGTCGTTTAAAGCCCTTTGAAGCTGCACTGAAACTCTCATTTGGACATTGAATCTAGATTGTATATGACTGAATACACAAATAACAGTTCAAATGTAAAACGTCACGATGAAATAGTACATTTGGAGTTTCGGTGCTTAATATATGTGCTTTGTGTTTTTACGGTACATCACTGATGTCCAACTAGGGTTGCCACCTTCAGTGAGGCAAAATAAGGGACACCCATACACGAGATAAATAAATAATTAAATTAAATTTTTTTTAAAAAAATGTGTCGTATGGAACTGATTATTTCAACATGCCAACTTGACAGCTCAACAATAAACCACGAGAAAAAAATAGATCAAGTATATGTGAGCTTGCAACAGAAAACATTTTATATTATTATTTTACATTTTATTATTTTACTCTTATTTACTTATATAAACTCTTCTGTAGCTATATGTTAGGGATTACAGAACCATTAATCATGTTTTGACAATTATGCATGGATTGTTCTTATTTACTAAAATTGATTTTGAATTTGACTTTGAAATTGTTATGTAATTGTCTATTTTTTATTTAAATAATGTAGCACTTTTAAAACTTTCTTTTAATTGCCATAAAGTGTGTATAACAGATAGGATCACAATTTAGTATGCATATATGATTAATATTTAATAATGCAAATTATAATGTTTAAATTTATTAATCTGTTTAATAACATTAACAAATAGGTTACCTGTCTACCAAGCTCTGTATATTAATATTATATATTTATTTTCCAAAGAAAAAAAAACAACAACAAAAAACCATAGGCCTATACCTTTAAAAGCAAGGATTGGTCTGTCACGGCCATAGGTCACGGCATGCTGCTTTGAGTCGCATGTTCTCTAGACTCATCATGGAAACAAAGACACTAAAATGCAACCACGGGCAAATTATTTACTCTACTTCTTGTGAAATTGATTCCATTATAATTAGGCTATTAGTATTATCTATAGCCTACTGTAAAATTCTTATTTGTTTATGTGTGGGTCTATGTAAAATTATGTCTGTTGATATGACTATTTGTATTATTGGTAAGAAAATCTATTTATTATTTATGTATTCAGACATAGGCTATTGTTAATTCTATTATAGCCTATGGAATTCTCTGGGTTTGTTAAGCAAGTTATTTTTCTCCACAACATTCACATTTTTATTATTAAATATGTATTTAATATCTATCTCTCTCTTATTTCTTATTATAACTTATTTAGGCTACTCATTTCCACTGACACTTTCCAGCGAAGTATTTGTTTCCTCACACTCTCGTCGTTACTTTTGCATACGCTTTCGTTTCAGAGGTGAACAAAACTCTATGGCTAAAGACCCGCCCTCTTCTGACTCTGATTGGCCCTGAACCTGATGGTGTTAAACAAACCAATCAAACCAACAATGGCAGCGCGTATTACCCAATCAAGGGTAGAATAGGACGCGTCTTCACAGAATGCGGGTGGCATGATTTGCATGGGATCATGCGTTCGGAAATACGGGACAAATCGCGTCCCGTATTGATTCAAAACGGGACGCGCTTTTTATTTCACAAATACGGGACGATTCCGTATTTTAAGGGACGGGTGGCAACCCTATGTCCAACCATGGACGCTGTTATATGTTTCACTGTGTTACTTTCTTTCGTCTCCACTTCTCTGGTGTATAAGCACAGTCGCGCTTCAGCCTGAGTCTCCACTGTAGCTGCCAGCTAAGTAAATAGGATGTTCTTATCACCACCCGAGCACAAACACATACCAAAGCCTGCAGGCCTGGGGGTGCAGACAGCCTCCGCGCTATTCTACATGTACCTCACACCCTGACAACACAAGCACACACACACACTGAGCTCAAGAACAGCTCGGCTCTTAAAACACTCCTATTGTTCCTGTTGGCACAGGGTCTTGTCTAGACCAATGGAATGGATAAGAGATATTGTAAAATACTGTTTAAATATTAAACCTTGTTGTTTGTGATAATGAGACAGATATGAAAAGCCACCAACTGACAGATATAAATCAGGTGCCAAGACCAGACCTACCTTAACTCTTAACTTTTTTCTGGGTCCTCAAACTTTCATGCAGCATCTACACACAATAGCAATGGTACAATTCTACACTAAATGCCAGTTCTGATACATTTAGCATTTTAGTTGTGACTGCTATAAATGCAGAGTTCACATACAGATGGATTACCTGAAAAAAGGACTTCACTAAGGCTAATTTAAACTTTACACTGGCAATATTTAGCTGATATTTTAGCTGAATTATTTTTCCAGTCATGGAAAACAGAATAAAAAAAATCAACTCTTTAAATTATCATTATAAACTTAAATTATCACTATAAAGACTGAGTGTGATTTCTTCTTAGTACGGTGAGTGCTGCACAGATTAGATTGGTCACTCACGTCTGTCAGTCTGTCTCTGGAGCTGCTCCGGATGGAGGGCTTGGATTCTCCACTGACGCTCTCACTGTCGCTGTCTTTGCAGTTGTTCTGGCCCGGCTTCAACTGGAAAACACAAAGACAGCAAAAAGAAACAAACAATCAGATACAGCAAGAAGAGAAAGGGCACTAAATTAAGTTATGTATCTAAATACATTTAGAGCACAGACCAAAAAACAAAAAAAACAACAAAAAAAACAAATGGAAGTAGCTCTGGTAAAAGGTAGCTATTGGATGTACACTACGGTTTAAAAGAATCTTATGTGAACCAAGACTGAATTCATTTGATCAAAAATCGTGATATTGTCAAATAGTATTATAATTTAAAATAACTTCTTCCAATTTTACTATCTTTTGAAATGTAATTTATTCCTCTTATGGTAAAGCTGAATTTTCAGCATCATTACTCCAGTCTTCCGTGTCACATGACCCTTGCTTCAGAAATCGTTCAACTATATTGATTTGTTGCTCAAGAAACATTTTGATATTATTATCAATTGCTTAATATTTTTGTGGAATTCATAATACTTTTTTCAGGACTCTTTAATGATTAGAAAATTCAAAAGAACAGCATTTTATTTAAATTGAGATATTTTTTAACATTATAAACAGTCACTTTTAATCAACTGAATGTCTCCTTGCTGAAAAACTATTAATATCTTTCAAAAAAAAAAAAATTAACAAAAAACGCAAATCTGACTAATCTTACAGTGCAAATCAGCCAAAATACAAACTGACAACTATATTTTGTTGTTGTGTGAACATTTGGGAGATGCTAATTCGGATGGGGACATCTCTAGATTCTTTCATTTGGGTTCCCACACCTTGGTTAACTTTCAATGAATTTCTAGGTCCAATACCCTCTAATTCAAGGACTTAATTTGTGTGTTCAACAACAAACATCGAGATGCCATCGTAGTAGTTTTGTGCGCACGTGAACGTCATGGCAAAGTACCTCACGCGGGAAACACTTAACAAAACGCTTAAATCAAGCAAGCTAATGTTCATAGGCCATGAAGTGTTGTCGAAATACACTTTCCTTCGACCGGAGAGAATAATTTGGAATTTTTTTTCCAGAAAACTTCTTGCACAAAATAAATTCAAGCACTTTTAAAGACCTGTCTCTATGTGTGTTTATTTTCCAAAACATTCCATTCCATTGCCTTGAATTTCTTTTTTTCAGATTCACAAACTTTCAAGGATTTCAAGGACCCGTGGGAACCCTGTTTCATGTAATTTCATCACTTTCTCTATGAATACCATGGCCACACCGGTCTTGAGTCCCACAGAGGAGCTCCAGAAGTATAAAAGGAGGAGTGACGACAGTGGAAGACGACGAGAGAGGACCAGGTCTGGACTTGGTGGTGTTGTTTTGTTTTAGTTTTTATGTGGCAGTCATCCATGAGGGGCTGCCGCTTTTCATTTATTTGTTTATGTTTATTTTGTGATTAAAGTTTTGCGATGAATGTTCGCTGGTTCCTGCCTCCTGCATCCCTGAACTTAATTTTTGTTACAAATACATTAGCCAATATTCCAAAATAATAACATTAAAATATAACATACATTCATGCAGCGAGAATCGGACACCAAAAATGGTAACCCCAAAATTCTTGTATATCTGTTGAAGATATGGCACAGAGGGTTGAACATACAGAAACTGGGTTTTAATCAAATAAAGAGCAACAAAATAAATAGGAAAAATCAATAAACTGACATCTACATGGTTTTAAGCCTGAATTCTTATCAGCCCTGTGAGAAAGAGAAATAAAAAACCAAACTACTTGTACATCAAAAGCAGTTTTCCATTCAGTGAGCCACTCTCCCCATGCAAGGACCAGAGATTCACAGCAGGTGTCCTTCAGCAGACGAGAAATCATAAAGAACAAGAGCAGACTGTAGAGGAGAAGGACGAGGGGGAAAACGGGAGGAGGACATAAAATCCAAAAACATCTGAGCCCCAATAAAGTCTGGAGAACAATGGCATACTCCTGGGACCCGGCAACTGTCATCAAGGTCTGCAATTTACGTCTTCTGAAGCTTCGCCATTCAGACGGGCTGTTTCCGTACCCCTCGCGCTGCCAAAAAACCCACTGCCTTCATCTTTCAGCACATGAAAACCCAGTTTTATGAGTCGAGATGAGCTGTAAATGGCTGCAGTGTCACTTAATGGAAAAAGCAGAGCAGGCCACGGCACACTGGGGGGTTGTTTACCAAGATGGAGAGATAGAACGGCCGCTCATTTCTTTTCCTATCTTTCTCTCCCAGACATTCCCTCTTTCATACTTCCCCATCACGTAGGAGAATAAAAACAGATTCTTCGCGATAGTTCTTGACAAAGGCAGCGGGACGGGGGAGGGAAGAAGATGAGGGTTGGAGAATATCTCTTTTCACTGGTGCAGGCTGTGGGTTGTTAAAGGCGCACAGGCGGGATAAGGGACTGCGGGGAAGAGGGCCCTTGAGTAAAGCACATAATTAAAATGAAACTGTTCCCTTTCTGTAGCCATTAGCTATGTGAAAGGATCTCTCTCAGAGGGAGAAGCTCAGTGACTCCAGGCAGAGACGCTTGCTTCTACCAGCAGGCCACCGTGATAAGAGGCAGGCACTGCTCAGAGAGAGAAAGAGACTGAGTGAGAGTTGGCAGTAACAAAAAGTTTGAAGTTGAGGGAGGATGGTCAACTAGGTGCATTTCTATGTGTCCTGTTTTATTCCTGTTGGGAAGCAGGTTCAAATACTGTCTTTATTCAGACATCCTACATCATTTCAAGCCCACTTCTGACCTACAACGGCACTGGCCAAACCTCTTTCACATCATCGACGCTCAGAGAAAACAGAAGTCCGAGAAATGCAGGCAGATTCAGAAGATAATCATCCATTGACTCATACGGTGGACTCTCAACAAACCTGGAAAAGACACTGTGAGATGTTCTGCTCAACTGCTCTTTTAAAGGAGAACTCCCGCACAAAATGAACCTTTGGCCTAATAACACATTGGTAGTCAACCGTTCTCTGAGATTTGTTTTCATGATAATCGAATGTATAGTTCTATCCCTAAACACTGTTTTGTGTATAACGCTAGTATATGGCGGCAAATAATAAGTAAAAAGAAATCGCTAGTTAATACCACTAAAAAGGCTCAAAATAGCCCCACACTAACACAGTAACATCATGAGGGTCCCTACGTGCAAAACGAAGCATTGAGAACCAGACAGTTTAATGATACTTTATAAAGACAGTACACTTTGTGTATACAGGCAGAAGCCATCTTTGGAAAACCCTCGACCAGTCGAACCACAAACCGTGCCAAGTGAGCTGAACTGTATGAACCCCATTCGTGGTTCCGACTTGTCGAAACTTGAGCCTTGTTAGTGGTATTAACTAGCGATTTCTTTTTACGTATTATTTGCCCCATATACTAGCGTTATACGCTAAACAGTTTTTATAGATAAAACTCTATAAAATCGATTGTCCTAAAAACAAATCTCAGAGAACGGTCGACTAATGTGTTATTAGACCAAAGGTTCATTTTGCGCCGGAGTCCAAGGGAAACTTTAAAAAAGAGGGGGGGAAAGGAATGTATATCCAGCAATAAAAAAAAAATATACAATAAACAAATTCAATAATGATTTGGAAAATAATAAAAGGACAATAAATAGGAAATAACCAAATGAAAATAGTAAATAAAATAATGTGTTATTGTATTTGAATCTATTGTAAAACTACTGTATTTAATATCAATTCCACATTTAGTTATTAAGCTTATAAGCCATTTGTTTTCATTAGACTTATTAAAAACACTTGTTTTAGGACATTTGTTTTTTTTTAACCAACGTACAGCTTTTTTGTAAACAAAAACAAAAACAGCTGGTATTACTTTTTAAGAAGTGACTCTGGGCAGTGAGTCGGAACTGAAGACACTGGCTAAGAGCTCTGGATAAAAGTTTAAATAAACAAGTTTTAGTTCAGTATTGCCTAGTTCAGATGACAAAAAAATGTATAATGGATACTGGCTGTAAAGCTCCTGTACATACAGTAATGTGATTCATTATATGGCTTGCATGTGTATACTTCCCAAAAAAGGGTGGGTTAGGGGTGGCGTCACTCAATCATTTGCATAGCACTGTGCAGGACAAGCACCGGGAAGTTTCCTACTGAGCGTTAAGTGTTCTGAAGAAAAACGCAAAATAAAATTACCATGAAGAAACACTTATTATTCTCCAATTAAGTAATGCAAATGTCTATGTAAAAGGATGGTGTATCTTGACTTACTCTGAGTTGAGTAAATAATCAAATGTTAACACAGATATCGAACCAAGATAAACTCCCTTAAACCAGTTAAGCAGGTACAACTTTAACATGAGAAATTAAAAAGCAATTTGGAGATTTGTTAGCTATCCACTTAATGCCTCTTAAATAGCCTTTGAAGGCACTGAAGGCACGCAGGTCATTTCATATGAGTTCTCAGAGTAATTTTTGAAGAGATTTTATTAATAGAGGTGTTAAAGAAAAAAAGCGCAATGCTGGAAGCCACGATAAATTACCATCATCAAAAAGTTCAGTGCAAATCGGGTTTCCACCCACAGTCGATAAATCAGTCCAGTCTATAAACCTCCATGTCCACGCAATTGTTCATTACTCCACATTTACAGTTTAACAAGGCATCTCACTAACTCTAAAATTAGCCTGATGTCTAGACACATAAAGTGTGATATCTATTGTGTTCATTTTTATTGTCTCTATGCTCTTTCTGGTTTTGGCATATGATCGTTACCTACTGCTGCTCGCTAGATTAACTGTCATAACAAACGTAATGCAGTTTCTTGTAAAAATGATCGTTCTTTGGAAAGCAAGCATCTCCCATATGTACACGCCTGTGAGTGTGTGTACATAATAATGTTGTTTACGAGTGTGTGTGTGTGTGTGGGGGGGTTTTCACAGTCTTGCTTGTGCAATCATAATGACGTTAATGAAGACTGACAGTTCCACCAGGTTGCACCATAAGGATAAACTCCTTTAACAACCCAGAGCAGAGCCTTGGTAAAGATTCCCCCTCCAGGAAGATAACAAAC